TTCTTCCTTTGAACATCATTCCTCCCTCTCTCCATGGTCACAGGTCTGCGTCAAAAGTTTGTTTTCTTTTGGGGAACAGTTTTCATTAGGGTAGCAATATTGATGATCACAGTCGACTTTGTTAGTTTTAGCTAAAATTGCGAACTCTTCATTTGGAGGTGGAGTAACTTGGGGAGATAGTGCTTATGGCTGGACAATGTCCAATGCCACTAACATTTTTATTTGCCCAGATACAATACATGTGGGTGTTGCGTTCTCGATTTAGGTAAAACCTTTTTGCAAATATCAAAGCAATGGACATAGGACCATAGAGCGCCAAAGTCAAGGGGATGAGGTGGCGTGTCAACTAATTAGCGGGGTCTAATTAAAAAATGATCAACTTATATACATTTTCGCTTTTTAATTTTTTTTGTGTAGGTGATAACTTGTTTAACTCTCAGTCACTGCAAATGAATGTCCAATGAGTTCTCAATGAAATATTTCATTGTGGTTTAAAAAAGGAAGCGGCGGGGTTTCCTTTTTTAGAGTCCCCAGAATGGGAATAAGAAGAAGCGACCGTCGTTACTGGTCTCCCACAGACAGCGATTACAGGAAGGTGTCTATCAGAAGCTCTTTGCGACGTTAAATTAAAGGACCAGCTCCCATCGGATGTCACTCCGTTGCTGCCGGAAAGCTCAGTTACAGAAGGGATTTAAAGCCGTTACACATACTACTCATATTCATTTAAGTAGCTGTAAATAACTTGTAAAAATTAACAAATTATTTGAAAAAAACGGATTAATAAACCTCTTTTTGAATACGGGCCCACGTGTATTCACTCAGGAATTTAAAAAAAAAAACTATTTTAAAAGGAAACAGATAGCTTTCAGTTTGGCCCTCCCAATGCAGTTGATCGGGTAGACGGGGTGACGAGTGTGGCCTTTCAATCCATCAATATTCCCAAAACGAAGACACTTCCTTTCTGCAACACATTTTTCGCTTTCATCTATTATATTGTGCTAATTATAAAGTGCCTAAGTTCCTCCATTTCTTTATGGTAAAGGTTGGATCAGTAGTGATTCCTTCCTTCAACTTCGGTCTCCACTGTACTTTGCCAAACATTGTTAAGTCAATAAGGCACATTGAAAAATGAGTTTTACTCCCACAGATATCAAAAAACTAATTTGCTTCAGTTTTCCATTACTTTGAAAGAGGTGGATTGTCTGTCTCTTAGGAAGGCCTAATCCATATGTAAATAAGTGCCCAGTAGTGTTAGCATCCCTTATGGCCTGTTTCTCCTAATTATTTCAGAGAGGATTTTAGCTAAAGGAAGTTTGATTCCATTAAAAAGGGAGAAAGACTTCTATTTATGAGGTACAAAATCGCTCACTCACAATTTTTAAAAATCAATTTGCAGTTCTATTCCCTATATCTCCATTCCACTTCATAGGCAATATTCAGGGAAGAACTTTACGGATAAGACCTTCTTCCACTTAAGTAGAGATAAACCTAAAAAAGCATTTTAAGAAAATTTAATGCCTTTGTTAATGAATCATGCCCAAAGGAGAATGAACGGTCCCCGGTGCAGCTCGCTGGTACCATCTGAGATGGCGCAACGTAGAGGGATTTGTAGAATGCAGTCGACACCCGATTCCTTGTCATGTTCAGGTAACTGGAGTGCCAAGTTCATCCAGAAATAGTGTACTTTACAAGCGGAAAAGAGATCAA